TGTTGGTGAAGAGGGAAGGTTGGGCATGAGGCTAGCAACCTCACCCTGTAAAATAAACACTGATACAGAAACTTCAAGCTACTAGCTTGAAGCCCTATGTTCCACTGGGGAACGTGAAGGAAAAAAGATATATATATATAAACTGAATGAAAGATTCTGGAGACTGTTCAATTTCATTTTGATATTTTATGTGGTAAGTCATTTGTAAACTTTAAAAAGATAATAAACAGTATAACTTTCTGAAAGTTGAGACGTCCAAACGCAATATAGGTTCATATGAATATGTATACTGAAAAAAATTGATAAAATCTGTTTGGATCATTGTTATTATTATCTCCTTCAGTTCATAGAGGAACATCCGGCTTCAGAAGTGCGTCTCCATTGTGTTCGATTCTCTGTCAACGTTTTCACCTGACTCCACGTCTACCCACATGCTTTCATCTCCTCTTCTCATGATCTCCTTCATATCACCCTAGCATTGACGACCAACTCGCCACTTCACATTCGGGTTCCACTCAAGCGATGGCCTGGTGTGTGATTTCACTCACTTGATGGTTTATTTTCTCAGAGTCTGGCCAATCCATCTTCATTCCTTCCTGCACATTTATTGCACAGTAGGTTCCTACAGGGTTGGTTCGCTCATGGCCAGAGATCCCCGTTGCTGATCTTTTCCACCTGACACATGATCTTGAGTGGTATTGAGCGAAGACAGCTGTTGATGAATGTCTGTAGTTTGTTCGAAGCGGCCTTCGTAACGCGCCAAGTCTTTGGTCCGAATAGTAGCACTGACTTCACACTGGAGTTGAAAATCCGGATCTTATTTTCATTTTCATGCTGAGTGCTGTTGATCTCCACACAGACTTAGCGAGAGTAATGAAAGCTTGCTTTACTTTCCTGATCCTCGCTGCTTTGATATCCTCATCACTTCCGTCCACTAGTAGTTGAAACGATGCTTCCCAGGTAGGTAGGTAAGTGGGTAGGTAAAGGAGGTTGCTTCTTTCAGATTTCTTTCATATATGTTTGAATTAGAACCGCATAAACTGACAGGTTTATTTTTTAACCACTTATCTTACAATACATAATGTGATCTATAAGCACAAACTGAAGTGAAGAAGCGGAATTTAGAACTGATTATTATTATTATTATCTGAGTTCCGATTGGAACATAGGGCTTCACAACAGCACATCTCCATTTCATCCTGTTTTCTTCACTCGCTTTTTTTCAGGCTTAAGATCGATTAGTAAACCAGGCCAAATTGTATAGGTAATTTGTTTTGTTTACTAGATAAATCCCACAATGAAACAGTATTGTTTATTGGATGAAATTTCGAGCACAGTTTTTTTTTGTGCACACTGATTTCAAAAGTGACTCCCAAGTAACTTTTCGGAACTTGCCTTTTAATAACTTTAATTCTTTACCTTAGTTTCTTGCAGTGGTAGTGGAGTTTTTAATCCTGATGCATATATTCTTAATCGATCTGATAAGCAAACTTTCTGTTATCAATCTAAATTTCAGTGTGTAGCACAGCTGAGAAAATCATCAATATGATTATGAATAATAAACTGTTTAAAACATCAGCCAGTATATACTACTATTTTACTTTATGCTGAATCTGATAGACAGGATATAATATTGGGGAGAAAACAACAAAAATTGTTGTTGAAATGTATGTACGGCTGACTGATTTGCGCACTACAGTCTAGGGACCCTTCAGTTATTTTCAATGAAGAAACTGCCTAATTAATATCATTCATCATAATAATATATAGAAAAACAAAAATTGACTGACATCAAAACATTGAAATGACGTAAAAGCCTCGTCTGTCTTTTGCAAATACAACAATAAACATGTATACATAGTACACCTTATATATACACATTGATTTACTGGTATCTAGGTAATGTCCTTGAAATAAAGATAAACAATTAGATATTTTTTAAGTTTGACCACGGATTGATATTAGTTAGAGAACCACTGAAAGCCAGGAAGTACTGCCAGACAGCTGTTTCATCCTAATTTGGGAATCATAGGCAGTACGCATCTACCACCAGGGTTCGAACCCAGGACCTTCCGGTTACAAGGCAAGCTTGTATACCATTCAGCCACTGGGACCCGAATCAATGGCCAGCCCGTGAATTCTAACTTCTACCAATTCGTGATTTAGCGTGACCACCAAGTGTGAGAATGGATTTCCCGCCGATAACATTGGTTGGTGGTCGTGCTAAAGTCATCGCGAATTGGTGGAAGTTAGAATTCATGGGCTAGCCATTGAGGAGTCAGGTCCTAGTGGATGAATCGCATACGAGATTGCTTGCCTTGTAACCGGGAGGTCCTGAGTTCAAACCCCTGTGGTGGGTGCGTACTGCCGATGATTCCCAAACTAGGATGAAACAGCTGTCTAGCAGTACTCTTTTTTTAAACTTCCAGTCTAAAAAATTGTAAAAAATCGATGAAATACTTTCGGAATACATACTCTTTGAACTTTTATCAATCTCATCAACTATATTTTCATTATGATCTTGTGTAAAAGTCATATATTTAATCCATATATCACTAAAAATATATAAAATTATCTTGTGTTATGATTTTATCATATACAGTTGTTTTCAACCATGATAATTTATAACTTACCATATAAGCAATTTCAAAATCCCATATTTATTCATAGACTTATCTAATTTCTTGAGATTAATCGTTACTAAGATCCTTTTGAGCAATCGGCAAAACCTTTACTAGAATCACCAGAGATATGTTCACCTCCTGATGAGGTCAAGACTGGAAAACTGTATCCACACAGCCAGTCCTTGTCTTAAAGGGGACTCACATATTCTAGAAAAGGTTCAAAGGACTGCAACACGTATGATCCCTGACATGACTAATTTACCATATAAGGAAAGACTAGAAGGTTTAAATCTCTTCTCCTTATCATACCGTAGGTAGAGAGGAGATTTAATCACAATATTTAAAATTTTAAATAATGACTACGGACCTGATCTCTTCTCTCTTTTCCTTCCCACCAGGTCGCAACATCTTAGAGGACAATAGCAGGAGAGTTCAAAAGCCAAGGAGAAACTGTATTACTGTGGAGTACTGGTTTTCACATCAAGTAATGAACTCCTGGTACCGACCCCCAGAAGAAGTGGTGTCAGCGACCTCAACTGACTCATTCAAGAAGTGTTTGGCACAAGCACAGAAATTTACTAGAAAAGGATTAACATAGGCTTCAAGTATTCTTTCCGTAATCAACAAATTTAAATCCAAATCTGAATACTCATTTCTTAAATGACTTTACTAAAAATCTACACATTTTTGTGTAGAAAAATTAAATTTTCATTTGAAATCTTTTCTTACAAACAAAACTCTGTTCGACTCAAATGAATTTCTCAGTTTGTTCTGTTTATATGAATACAAATGATTCCAAAGAAGTTCATTCATGTCGTGAAAAATGAAAGTGTTACTCAATAATTATTTGCATTCTCCTGCAGTTGACAACCAACCACACCTATTCCATGAAGGTTAATGATATTAACTCACTATTCAAACCTAAGTAAGTGGTACGAAGTTCAAACTGGTGACCTAGTGGTTGGAATTCGAGTGCGTAAACCAATGAGACAGCTCCACTTTAGCTGTCTAAATCATTGAAGTTATAATGAATTCTAGTCTGTTGAATGCCTAGTCTAATGCCCCCTCGACGGGCAATGTTAGCTGATACAGGGCCAAACTGGAAAAGAGCTAGCGGCGGTCAGACGAAAACATGGCACCAGTCAATGAAATCCACAACACTTAGTTTAAGCCACGTAGGAAAGTTTAGACTGGCTGACTGGTTAGGGTCCTCGGGACGGTAGAAACCAATGGTTGGAAACAATTGGTGACATGGCTCAAAATCGTTCTCAATAGCTGGCGCAGATGCATCCACTCCTTGTGACTTATGATTTCCAATTAAACTGTTTTGTTCCTCGTTATTACTATTCCTTTGTCTCACACCTCTGTTTACTGTCTATATTATGCATTTCTCCTACTTTCTTCTCTTGCTTCGTGTGCTACATGGAGTGTGGCGACTTGAACTGCCGCACATATGTGCAAAGTTCTATGTCGAAAACCGACCGACCGACTGAATGACGTTTTGTGGCAGATAAATGCTGAAAACCATCTATCTGATTATTACATACACACTTACTGTTTTCACTTCTAGACATATTTTAAGTGGATAAAGTTTGGAGCTACTGTTTTCAACAGAAATTCTGTTGTTGCACACCAGTTTATGACAAAGATTTCTTTGAAACACTATAACCCATAGATTCCCCTTAGGATTTCTAATGTGAAAAAGAAAGGTAAATGGTCCATAACTACATTATTGTTAGATATTTTGGCAAAATTAAACCATCATAGCCAAAAAATACAGTGACCTTGAACAACCGATCAGAATTCAGATGCAAAAAAGTCGCACAATCTTTGAAAAATACACTAAAAAGTATTGCAAACTTCATATTACACTGCATAGTTGTAGCTTATGTGTTGTAAGAATGTCTCCCAATCTACAGAGAAGTTATATATGCGCGTTCATCCATTCATCCAAGTGACTGTAGGTCATGGTACTTTGAGATCCATTGGTATTTCTGGCACTATTCTTCAACCTACTCCAACCCTAACTTTAACCCTAAACCTAACCTTAACCCTAGATCCTTAACGTCATTACTCTATGGTTAGGTAGCTACCTAATGGTATATATTTGCAGAAAAAGTACATAGTAAATAAGCAGAATACTTTATTTATCCTCTCCAAGTCCAAAAAGGCAGGCATCTGATTTGATCTGGAATGACATTTCATAGCATTCCCTGTGTCTGATCGGTCCTTGAAGGTCAACTTTTCAAAGACCTTTATTTTGGCTACGATACTTCGCCGATATTTTTATAAGAAACTACAAAATACACGATATCAAGACTGAACGCTTTTTAAACTGCTCACAGAAATTTAAAAACTAATTGCTGGTTAACTTACTTCACACGCTCAGCAATATGAGGATAAAGTTCCGGACGCCATGCAGGCATATGAGTTACAACGATGTCTGTATTATCGGGAATATGCAGCCACTGTTTAGAAACGTCCTCAATACTAGGTAAAACAAATCCGTGTGTATGGCATGGAGCAGCAGTATCACTGGTGGGTTTGGAAGACGGTTGACCATTGTGCAACTCATTTAATCGTTGACGATCAGTCGAAGAATTCAACTTCAGTTTTGTATAATGACTAAAATGTTTCTGTACAAATGCTCCGTCTTCAGGTCGTAAGTCATCAGCTGCAGTCCATGGAACTCCGTAAATTGTCAGTCCAAATATTCGACACCATGAATCTTCAAGATAAATGGCGGAGGTAAGGTGAGACTGAATTTTCTCAGGAGTTGGATACTCACCAGATGAGTCTGGATACCATGTTTCCCAACATCCGGGCACAAATATCTTGAAATCATGTGGTTGCTGGGCAAAAAACTTGTCAATTTCTTTAATTTTCTGTTGCCATTCATTATTTGCTGATGAACGACGTTTTTTAAATTGTGGAAGTTTACCACTAATACTTCTACACCATGTTGAAAGCCGAAGACTAAGTGAAGGCGGATGAGATGTAAAGTCTCCAGAATGAATTAAAATATGTCCACGAGGAATATTTTCAGTGAAGGCATCATGTGCACCTCTTGTGTCTGAGATATGTACAATACGAACAACTTTTGCCTTAGGATGTCCAACCTCTCCAACTACATATACATTTAAATTCCTAGAATTGAGTACACCTGAATTTTGAAGAGGATTGGCACAATAGGACGGCTCGATTTTTGATGCTGAAAATATGATTGAAGATTAAAATAATCCAAACTTCAGGTGATTTACAAGTTTTCTACGTCGCACAAATGTTTTATAAATGACTACCCAACTGTATTTATGAAAAAAAATTAAGGAAATCATATGAAATGATAGATTATGGACACTACTTTAATCACGTGGGTATTAATCGGAATGTGATTGGATAATGTATTATTGATAAACCAATCAACGTGACGTGTTGCTGTCCAATGCTTCATTAGCTAAGAAAAAATGGTCACTGAACTATTAGACCAATCATAATTTAGATTTATATGCTCTGATGTGTTTACTCGACGTTTACAACTCAGCAAGCTTAGCATAATTTTAACGAATGCTCCTGAAACAGAGCTCGATTTGGGGATTCATTACTTTCGGTTGTTACCTTCATAAAACACCAAAAAGTGTTAAACGCTACACGAAATCAGTCATATCGCTTTATAGATTCGGTTCCCATTGAAAGATTACATAGAGCAAGAACCAATAACTTTAAAGCTTGTAAAATAGCCCGTTTTATTTTGGTGCATTTGCATCTGTTGAGTACAAAATATAAAGGCTAATAAGTTAGTATTCGAGAGATGATAAGCATTCCTATTATAAATATTAAGAATGTTCTGAAACAATTTAAAAACTGAGTTTGTGTGAATCTTAAACAACTATTATTGAGATGCACACTGAATGTGCAATTTAGATTTAATGATGTCATCTACAATCAAAGGGATGGAGTCGCTATGGGGTCTTCTTTAGGACCGCTCTTAGCGGACGTCTTCATCGCTAGCTTAGAGAATGGCCCACTAAAGGAGACCATCGATAGTTTGTTTATGTATAAAAGATATATAGATGACACCTTCATTGCATGTGACGAAAACTCTTCAACTGCCGAACTTCTTAGAATATTTAATGGTTCTCACCCATCTTTGCTCTTCACGGTCGAAGAAGAGTCGAATTCCTCATTTCACTTCCTTGATGTTAAGCTAGATAGAAGAGAGAATAACACGCTGTTAAGGTCGATTTACCGAAAGCCAACATTCACTGGGCAGTACACCAACTTCAACAGTTGGGTACCTTTAGAGAGAAAGAGAAATCTTATTCATTCCTTATGCTCCAGAATTCGTAAAATCTGCTCTGCAGAGACAATCGATAGTGAACTAGATAACCTTCGATCAAATCTCCTTAACAGTGATTGTCCTACAAGGTTTATCGAACGTAACATAAAGAAAGAACCCGCCCCTAGACAAATTACAGTGCCAAAGAAGAAACTGTTTATGAGTCTGGCATTCAAAGGTGACACCATTTCGGAATTGATTAAAAATCGTTTATCAAACTGTATTAAACGCACTTATCCTGCAGCTGACTTGCAACTAGTTTTTACTAGCCGAAATATGATTAGACAATGCGTCAAGGATAGATTACCGCTTTTGTCCACATCCATGTATATTTACTCTTTTACCTGCTCTTGTGGAGCTGTTTATATTGGACGTTGTAAGCGTAATCTCCGAAAACGTGTAGCTGAACACTATCCAGTCTGGTTAATGAAAGGCGAACGTAGAACTGCGAAGTCGTCTATCTGTGATCACCTGTTAGAGTCAGTTCATTTAGCCCCAAGTGATTCATCTTTCAAAGTTATCTACATGGCAAAATCGAATCGATCCAAAAGTTTACGTTTTCTTCACTTATGCATAGCCGAAGCTTTGGCCATACATGAACAGAAACCTAAATTATGTATTCAAAAACGTTTTGTCAAACCCCTTTCTTTACCTTGTTCATAGTATTGTTCTTTCTAGTTTTTACTTTATTTTATTTTACCATTTGAATTTTTTCCACATCACTTCACATCTTCATTCTTATCGTAATCGTACTCTTAATTTTTTTAAATTTTTAGACAACACTTGACATTTTTAAAACATTTTTGATTTCATTTCACTTATAAAACCATCTTTAATAATTTTGTAATTTATCCACTTCAAATCTACACCTTATAACATTTTAATTATCGTTATTCTTATCACATATATGTATATTGACTGAGCAATTATTTAGTGCCACTTAATAGCCTTTTCTGTAATGTAAATACGACTGTACTGTTTGAAAATGAAGTCGCTGAAAAGAAATTTCTTCGCTGAACAAAACTGTGTTTTTACTTATGAAAAAGTATGAACAACAACTAAAAATGGTTGCAGCAAAGACATTCGTGAACACATCAAAAGAGTTAGAAAATCCGAAAATCACTTCTGGTCAGGTATCAAAATACAATTAGAAATAAGATGAAGTTAACTAATACATAAAGTGATCCAAATAGGAAACTAGAAAGGACGTCTACAGAATAAGCATAATTAAACAGTATTAAAATTTTTATTTAAAAGGAAAACTGGTCCAGATGTCCATAAAAAAGACATATCTTGAACATACCTTTTCGGGATATTGTGGCCTAATTAAAGAATCTCGTTTTGTATTGTATGTAAAGACATCTAGCTATAGAAGTTTGTAAGTTATCCATTCCATGTCGGCTTCTATGAATGGATCTTTTAAGTGTTCTATATTGTTCACATCTTCTGAGTTGAACATTGAATCGGACTCCTCTCCTAATGTGAAGTGGAGAGCAGGAATGATAGCTGTTAGAAAAATTACCAGAATGTCTTCCAAATTATCTTCATTACTGTAAGTAATGAAAGAATCATCCAGCAGCCACCGTACAATTCAGTTCAGAGTAAAGGAGTCCAATTCAAAAATATCGTCATTGGATATATATAAGTTTGGCTTGAAATCTTGCTATGTCTGGGTGTCTTGATGTTGCTCCATTTAAGAGCCTTGAATGAACATGGTATAGAGGTTTAAAGGATATGTAAAGCTATCGAAAACTCTCAGGTTTTCAACATTTCTTAAATGATATCAGTTCGTCAGCTGACTCGAAACAAATCGAAAATTGTTTATTTTCGTCTGTTTATCGTAGACTCTTTGCTTCGGTGGCACAGAGGTAGAATGCTCGGCATCCACGCATGAGGTTCAGGGTTCGATCCCCGGCCGACACACTCCTTTACCTCGCTAAGTCAGTGGTAAAACTGGTAAAGAGGGAAGGTTAGGCATGAGGCTAGCAACCCCATCCTGTGAAAATAAAACACCACTGCTACCGAAACTTCAAAGCTGTAGCGTGAAGCCTCCTATGTTCCACTGGGAACGTAAAGGAATAAAAAAAATTATAGATTTTGGATTCACTAGGCTACTTTTTTTGAACCAATTAAATTTACTGACAAACTTTTAAACATTTCCTTCATTTTAGTGGTGTCTATATAACTGAATTAATTTATAACGCATTCTACCATTAAAAGTTTAATCTTAGCAAGTTAGGATTATATAATTGGAAACTGATAAATTGAAGCGTATGATCCAGTATTTTAGGGAGTTATTGTCGTAAAATCACATAGCACGTAGTATTTAAGGGAGAAATGTACTACTATTTATTGACTAAATATTGTTGATTAATATATGTAGTAGTGGTATGTAATCCCATATTAATTTGTTTACTAGATATATCACATAGTAAAACAGTATTATGTACTGTTTATCTACAGTATTATCTATCGTTTCTTAGTGAGTCAAAATGGTTTTATTTAATGCCAGAAACTAATAACCCCAGTAGGTTGTATGGTATTGTTAAAGTTCATAAGTCAGGACACTCTGTTAGACCTATAGTTAATTTTAAAAGTTCACCTACTTATGAATTGTCTAAATATTTAGCTATGGTATTAAACCCCCCTTAAAAGCCACTCAGAATCTAAACTAACAAATTCTTATGAAGTAAGACGTAGACCACGTAATTTAAAATTAGATAGTGAGGGAAAAATGGTTAGTTTTGACATTATCAGTTTATATACACGTATACCAATAAATATGGCTATAGAGGCATACAGAAACGAACTCGTTTCTGACCAAGAACTTGAACTTAGAACAAAAGTGCCACTAGAGGACATATTACTAGGAGTGCGCCTATACCTGACTTCCATAGTACTTAAATTCCAAAGGAAAACATACAAGCAAACTGAGAGAGTTGGCATGGGGTGAACAATAATCCCGATTGTGGTATGCATATTCATGGATAGGTAGGAAAACTTGACGATTGAAACGTTCAGCCCCACTCCAAAAGTATGGTGGGGTTATGCAGATGACACATTCACTGAACTAAGATCACAGGATATAAACAGAGTTTTCGAACACATTAACTCGAAGGTGGAGGCAATCCAATTCACTTATGAACCCGAGAGCCAGGAACTCACGGAGCTTCCAATGTTGAACTGTAGTTTAGAAAGGAAAGAAGATGGAAAGGTAAACACTAGTGTTTACAGGAAATCCATACATTCAAACCGATATTTGGATTTCCGATCATTCCACTCTATGCCAGTGAAAATAGGATTGGTGAAAATGTTCAAGTAATAGGGAACAAAAACTAAATAGTACCAAAGAAAATCTAAGACAGGAAGTGAGGCATATGAGAGAAACTTTGAAACTTAATAATTACCCTGACAAATTAATCAGGAAGTATGCCGAAAAATGTAAAATGAAATTAATAATAATGGTAATGATAGTGATAATATTATTATTATTATTGTTATTAATGATGATATGCATGTCAAACATGCATAGAATAATGACAACACCAACAATAGGGAATGTAAGTCATCAGAAGTCCTTCCATACAAATAAGGAACCTCGGAAACCTCCCGGGTAATTCTTAACAATGCAGGGATAAAAGTGGCTGGCACTCAAACCCACAAACTTAATTAGAATTAAGCTTTATCGGTTAGAGGATCCTGTGGAGCCAATCAAACAAAACAGTTTAGTTTATCTAATATCCTGCTGGAATGATTGTCAGATTAAGTACACAGGTTTAAGTAGATGAATGGGGTCAATCAGACTAGAGGAGCATAAAAATCTAGCAAAATCGAGATTAGTTGACCCGAATAAGATAAGAAATCTGGAGAGTAGTTCAGCTATATCACTACATGCAATTTCACACGATCACACGATTGGGTGGGATAGGATGACAGTTTTAAAATCTAATGTAACAAGTTGGAGGGAGATATTGATGACAACGGAGACTTTGTTTATCG